AAAAGCCCCAGGAGGCTTCTGAAAGCGGTTCTGGTATTCTCTTAAATCTGACCTTTACCTTCTCTGACTTCACTATATTTCTTGTCAGGATACTTTCTAGAAACCCAAGTGTGTGTTTAGAACCAAGTTTGTATGCCTTGCCTCCTGCAGGGCACACAGAGGGGGTCTTCTGCACCATCTCTCCTTGCATAGCTCCCTTACAAGCTATACCAGTGAATCTACCTATATAGTATATGAATATGATTTCTTGGAAAGGATATGAAATTACTTCATTGGTACTGTAAGCTATACAGTGGTGCCCCACTTGACAATTACCCCGGTAGACGAAATCTCTTCACGAAAAGTGCTTATTGCGATCGCAAAATGATGTTTCAATGGGGAAAATCCGCTTCACGATTTTCCCTGCTTCGGGAACCAATTTATCACTTAACAGCGATTTTAACGGAACGGATTAATGTCAAGTGGGGCACCATTGTATACACTTTTTTTCAATATTTGCGTTAAGATAGCATGCTGTAAATTAAGTACTGTGTTTTTAACCAGAGTCATCTTATGTTCTTGCAGAAGTCACTTCTGAAGTTCAGTTATTCTGTTGAAGAGGAAAGTGATTCGTGTTTGGCAGGCAGATGGTCTTTTGAAGACGTACCCATGAAACCTTTGCGAACAGTGATGGTAATCCCCAGTGACAGGATGGATGCCATCATGGATAAACTGAAAGAATACCTTTCTGTCTAAACTATTTTCTCTGCTAATAGTTTTGTGCAGTCATCCTTTAAGAGATATTTGAGGGACGTCTGGAGTCGACTATCGATTATGCATCCCCTCCATCTCTGTATTTTTTTTTGTAAAATAAAGCAGTTATCCAGCTAGCCACATGCAAATTCTTTATGGTGCAATAAATATATTCTAATGATTATTAAATAACTGTTGAATACTTTTCTTAGCTATCAATTTCCATATTGCCAAAGATGGTAGAAAAACTTGTTCTTCTCTTCTTGTTCTCTTGTAAAATACCTCATTGGTCACATATTTGGCAGTATAACCCAGTAGGTTTAAATCTCAACTGCAAATTGTTAGAAGTTAAGAAGTTGGCACAAGGTGTTTGCTGTTGCATGTTGGGTCACATGATTTGTACAATAACAAATGCCTGTGCTGACTTCTTGGCAGAAATTCACCGCTAACATTTATGCTGATTGAATTATGCCAGCCTAACAAATGTAACATGATTCCAGTCACCATATTATAAAAAATTGATACTGGGATTAGATCATATGTAAAGCTTACCTATTTCAACATAATTTGGAATATGAAACATTTTCAGTGATGCAACATTGTTGAGCAGGTTTTTCAGGATATTTTTCATATATTTATCTTCACCTTGTGTTTTTTTGTTCTTTGTTGCTTGTCCTTAAACATCCCTTGCTGTTAAACTGGTGATAAATGTTGAACAATCTTGCTCTAATTAACAGGCAAATTACTAAAGTGAGGTGCCCACTTGGCAAATCTGATAAAAAACAGAATAAACATAGGTGGAAATAAGACAAATATTTCTTCATATTTTCTATAGCTGTTTTATTACTAATGCAACAGATACTTATGGGGAGGCTTATTTTGGTGCAGAAAGTAAATCTTCCAAAGGAAGTGTACATACAAGCTTATTCTATTATCTTTGCAAATTAGGATGCTTCCCCTATCCTTGAATAATTGCTTCTGATATTTTGCAGATTGTATTTTAAACTGGGGTGTATCTTAGCCAAATCACTATTCCTTTGAATGTGTGTTAACCCAAAAGGGCCATGACTCATTACATCCTGCCAGTCATACTGAGATAGAGGGACCAATGGTCTGACTCTACATAGGGCAGCATATTGAATCCTTTTTGCACTAAAACAGGTTTAGTGTTTAGCAGACTATTCTGCATTCTGAAGGTAGCTTTCTGCAGTATTATTTACAGCAGCTTTTTCCTAATTAATTAATGCAGCATTAATTTTTTTAGTTCAGTCGGCAATTTGCAAAGATAATACTGTATACTTGACAGTATACAAAGATAGTATACAGGAATTGTATCCTGTCATGAATGAAACCCTCACAGAACTCCAAATGGTTGGAGCTACTGGCTGCAGTTTGCCCACAAACAGACAAGTTGAATCCCTCTTAAGTGAAAACATGATGAAAGACACATTGGATATTTCAAAGTATTTAAGATAATTTTCATATGTTTGGATATGAAAATTATCTTAAATACTTTGAAATATTTGAGGGTTTATCAAATATTGCAGTACAGTACTGTCTTTTAATGATGTAAGCTGCCTTGAGTCATTTTAAGGAGAAAGGCTGGGTTAAAATATATTCGAAATAAATATATCAGCTAATTTTTATGGTATAACTTGCAGTGTCCTTAAGGTCTTTATGTTATATAGTAAGCATTTTCATATTATTATAGGGTTAAATTATAGAAGCCCTAGCTGAAGAAATTGCATATTCCAATGTGGGTTGGCTGGAATAAACATTTTTCAGCACTTTCTGTTCTTTAATTTTTACTGTACTCCTAAATGTAATCCAGTAACCAAATTTCATCACATTTTAAAACAAAACAAAACAAAAAACCCTATAGCCCTGTGTGTTGCCTGGTTATATTCAAATGTATTGTGATGGTTAAAGTATTGTTTGAAATGCATTGGGGAGCATGGAATATTGGTAAGAATTGTTCTCATTGGCTGGCAAAGAAACTAGATAAGGAGGAAGAATGTGCTTGTAAGAGCAGTCTAGTGTAGAGAGATCAAGGACAGGGCAGCTCTGGATGTTTGAGAGAGCAGTCTGAAAGAATTGGAGGGGGAGGGAGGTGATAGAAAAGGTGAATTGCTCTGAATGAATTTAAGCCCTAGGAATAAACAGCATCCTTTTGATACTGTTATTTTAATATACCATATTTTTCCATGTATATGACCACCCAATGTACAGTGGTGCCTCGCTTGACGAGGATAATCCGTTCCAGCAAAATCGCTGTAGAACGAAATAGTCGTCAAGTGAAAGTAAAAGTCATTGTCAAACGAAAAAACCCCATTCAATCATCGTTTTGAAAAAACTAGTAGTCAAGCGATTTCCTCGTCTAACAAGTACCGCACCACTGTATAAGTCGACACCCTAAAAAGGCCCACTGAAATGCATTGAAAACCAGTTCAATGTGTTCCAGTGGGCGAAATACCTCAGCGTCCAGCGATGATCCTTCATAGGGCAGCCATTTTCCGTTGCCTATAATGCGAGGAATCCGGCCCAAAACCCAGTGGGGAGCCATTTTGCACAGGGGGCGGCCATTTTGAAGACCCGACGATCAGCTGTTTTGATCATCATTAAGCGAAAAATCGGTTCCCAAAGCAGGGAACCAATCATTGTCAAACGAAAAAACCCCATTCAATCATCGTTTTGAAAAAACTAGTAGTCAAGCAATTTCCTCGTCTAATGAGGTACTTGTCAAGCGGGGTAGCACTGTGTAAGTCGACACCCTGATTTTGACCCTTGCCAGAGAAGCAATCAATGTGCAGCCGCAAAGGATGGCCCAGTGCTGCTGCTGCCTCCGCCGCCCAATCTGTATAAGTCGACACCCTAATTTTGACCCTTGCCAGAGAAGCAATCAATGTGCAGCCGCAAAGGATGGCCCAGTGCAGCTGCTCCTCCACTTTCCGTCTCCTGCTGCTGCTGCCTCTGCCGCCCAATCGCCCCCCTGTTGGGGCTCACCTCCAGCTCATGTCACCACCTAGTCCCCTGCCTGAAGGAACCCCGCGAGTGGCCCTGGAGGAGGTGATCTGGTGTCAGCGGCAGCAGTTAATGGGCAATAGTGAGAGGCAGCTGAGCGCAGCTGCTCCTGTACCTCCGTCTCCACCTCCTGCTACTGCTGCCTCCTCCGCTGGATCATCTCTTCCAGCACCATTTACCTGCTCCCTTCAGGCAGGGGACAAGGCGGTGATGTGAGCTGGAGGTGAGCCCCGGTGGTGGTGCTGGAGGAGGTGATCAGATGGTGGAGGCAGCAGTCAATGGACAGCTGATAGAGGTAGCAGAGCATGGCTGCTTATCTGCCTCCGTCTCCTGCTGCTTCTGCTTGTGTCACCCAATCGCCTCCTCCAGTGCAACTGCTGGGGCTCACCTCCAGCTCATGTTGCCACCTTGTCTCCTACCTGAAGGGAGCCCATGAGTGCGCTGGAGGAGGCGATCCGGCTGCAGTGGCAGCCGTCAATGGGCAGCCATGATAGGCGGCTGAGTGCGGTGGCACCTTTGCCTCAGCCTCCTGCCATGTATAAAATGACTCTAAATCTTTCCTCTAATTATTTTAGGGAAAAGTGTCATTTTATATACTAAAAAATATGGTAACTTTATTAGTTCTGTTCAAGCTGATTGGTACTGAACTCAGTACCTGAGGCCTGGTTACGTGGAGCATGTTCTGAGGGCCTAAGTAAAGGTGCAAATGCACACACATAGGTGCACCTAAAATTGGTGGCAGCTAAAGAGGAAGATAAGAAATAAGATTATTAAATGCAGTATAACACATTTATTCCTGTGGTTCTTTAAAATGCCATGACATAAATAGTCAAGTGATAAGACAAAAGGAGCTTTGACATCAGTGTAATAGAGAAGGGTATAATAACTAATATAATTTTACTCTCATTAAATATCATGAGATACTCCCGAAATTTTGTGCCAAGCAGAATGTAGGGTGGATAACGTCTAACTCTACATTTCATTAGTTGGTAATGAGTAATTTTAAGAGCATCAAAATTTAATCCGGTTAATCAATAAAATGTCTAGCTGATTAATTTGTCTATTTTAATTTTTGAACCATACAACTTAGGGCAGGTCTATTGCCTTTGTTCAAGGTTATATTGGGGCAGATGAGTTTCTGAAATAGGAAATGAAAGAATTATTAAAAGATACTTAACAATCAAAAAGTGTCATTGGTTAGTCATATTTAAATTAAAACATATCTATTATTTGTTTAAAAGACAAATTGAGAATCAGTTAATCACTTGGTAGGATATATTTTTTATTTTTAATTATACGGATTTGAGTAGAAGCCGCAAGTACTTCGAAAATACATATTGCCATGGCAACAACTGTGAGCATTTTTTCTACACAATCAAATTCACATGAAGCTAAAATAGCCTTCAATAGCTGTAGATCTATGGAAAGTTCCGACATTATTATTCCGAATTATGAAAGGTTTCCATCATTGTCAAGGGCAGCTATATAATCCAGATCTTCCAAAGTTTGTGTGAGACTTTCAGAAGCTTAGATGGGTTAAGGCAAAGTAAAATAAGTTTTGCTTTTACGTTCCTCTGGCAAGTCCTATGAAATACCAATCTCCACTTCCAAGCCATCAAAACCACTTAACGCTGAAGAAACTGCATTGCCATTAGCGTAACATTCAGATTCAGATAGATTCTCACAAAGCCAAACTTTAACCCTGCTCTCCAAAGACCAACCCAAACTCAATGGTTATTACAATTGTTCAAAAATAACTGAATTAATTTAAGTGCTTTGTTGAGACTAGGAAAACTTTTATGAACAAGCCAGAAAAAGAAAATTGGTAAGAGAGTAGTTGAGAAAAAAAGGTTTAGACATTAGCTGCTAAAAATAAAAGGTAAATCTAAAGAAAACAATTTAGTCAGAGAAAGACTGGCAGGAAAAATATTAAATTTTATTTATTAAAATATTCCTTTTGTGCCCTATATCTGTCCCGGAGATCTCAAAGCAGAATACGAGTAATAATAAATTGAGGGTTAATAAACTGAAACTCAATCCTGACAAGATGGAAGTGCTGTTAGTGGGTGCTTCACTAGACAGGCTGGAGGGCCATTTCCCTGCCCTGAATGGGGTTACACTCCCCCTAAGGGACAGGGTCTGCAGCAGACTCATTGTTCTGATTTATGAGCCCCACCACTGTCATATCCACAAATTTAATAATTGTGTTGGTGTTATACAGTGGGGTGCAATCGTGTGTACAGGGAATAGCGGAAGGGACTTAGCACACAGCCCTGGGGAGCTCATGTACTTAGTACCAGGGTAGAAAAATGGTGAGATCCTATCCTTACTGACTGTGGCCTATCTGTCAGAAAGTCCTTTACCCACACGCAAATCTTCTGAGGTAATCCCAGGTTGATCGTTTTAAAAAACAACCTATTGGGTAGAATGGTATTAAAAGCAGAATCCACAAACAACAGCTTCCCTGTTGTTCTAGGTGACTCAATACAGTATGGAGTACAATGGACACAGCATCATCAGTAGATCTATTTCTCCTGTATGCAAATTGCCATGGGTCCAAGGAAGGTGGAAGACTAGCCTTAATGTAATCCAGCACCGATCTCTCAAAACATTTCATAATAACAGATGTTAAAGCTACTGGTCTATAATCATTGAGAGATACCACAGTTGACTGCTTGGGGACTGGCACTATAATAAATGTCTTCAGACAAGTGGGGACAGAACACTGCAACAAGGATAGATTGGAAATATCAGTTAAAACTCCAGCTAGTTCTGCAGCGCAGCTCCTAACAACTCATCCCATGATTCCATCTGGTCCAGCTGCCTTTCAAACGTTAATGCTGATCAGAACTCCAGGGAGAAGACAGGTGATTTTAACCATGCATTGGGGACAACTAGGTTGTACTGCTAATGCTAACTATGGATTGACAGCACTGGTTGTTGATGAAATGCTGTGTCATTTTCTCCGTAATGTACTTGGTCCTACTGTGGATACACCAATGTAAGCACAATTCTGAACCACAGAATTTCCCTGAAAGGTTGCAAACTTCTGCATATTTATTTGGGAGTAAACCCCACTGAATTCAGAGGGACCACCATCTAAATAAACACACTTGATGCTGAACTGCATGTTGGATTTGAGGACTGTTTCCAAATAGCTTGCATCACTGGCAAATGTGTCTACACTAGGCATCAAAGATTACCTGGATGTTTATGTAGATATCTGGTTTAATTTTATTAGAATTCAAATCGGTGCCTCCACATCACGAAGAAGAGAGAACATTTATTAGCTAGCCTGCAAGGTTTAATGTGATAAAAGATGAGTCCTTGAGAAAGTCAAAGTGCTGGAGAAAAAAACAGGTTGGACATTTAAAGGAGGGAAAGTTTGGGAGTTTTATCACTGAGCCATGAAATGAAAAGTAACAGCTGATGAATGGGAGAAACCAAGAGCTGGTGACAGAAAATAGGGATGCAAGATTTAAAGGGTGGGGGACACAATGGCCACTGAGTCTTCAAAGTAATTACCCAGGAATCATGGCAAACTAATTTCTATAAATCAATATTGTATTGTGAGGTAAATATATGGCTAATGTCCTTCAAAGCATCTGGCTCCACAGCCAATTCTAGTCCCTAGAGAACCTTGCCGCATTGCATTTTTATATTTCTATGCTGGTAGATCTGACACTGAGAATCACAACTCAGCTTTTGCTTCAATATTACATTAAAAAGGTGTTTGGTATTTTATTATATTGGAAAGGACAAGTTAATAAA